TAACGATGTGAGTAATAATAAAAATAAAGTTTACATGAAATTTCTGAAATAGGAATGAATGAAATATTATTTATTAGGAATGGAATGAAATAGGAATATCGCTTTTGTGTAGTTTTAAAAATAAAGAGGATTGTGAACTTTTACAGAAACTTAAGGATGTAAGTAATAATAAAAATAAAGTTTACATGAAATTTCTGAAAGAGGAATGAAATACATATGATGTCATATTAAAAACTGAGCAATTATCCTAAATATAAGATAATGCTATTGTGTAGGTTTAGAAATAAAAAGGGATGTACTCTTTTACAGAAACTTAACGATGTGAGTAATAATACAAACAAAGTTTAAATGAAATTTTTGAAATAGGAATGAAATACATTTTACCTTATATCAAAACATGATCGATTGTTATGAATGTAAGATATTGCTATTTGGTAGGTTTAGAAATAAAAAGGGATGTAAGGTTTTACAGAAACCTAACGATGTGAGTAATAATAAAAATAAAGTTTACATGAAATTTCTGAAATAGGAATGAATCAAATATTATTTATTAGGAATGGAATGAAATAGGAATATCGCTTTTGTGTAGTTTTAAAAATAAAAAGGAATGTGAACTTTTACAGAAACTTAAGGATGTAAGTAATAATAAAAATAAAGTTTACATGAAATTTCTGAAAGAGGAATGAAATACATATGATGTCATATTAAAAACTGAGCAATTATCATAAATATAAGATATTGCTATTGTGTAGGTTTAGAAATAAAAAGGAATGTACTCTTTTACAGAAACTTAACGATGTGAGTAATAATACAAACAAAGTTTAAATGAAATTTCTGAAATAGGAATGAAATGCATTTAACCTTATATCAAAACATGATCGATTGTTAAGAATGTAAGATATTGCTATTGTGTAGGTTTAGAAATAAAAAGGGATGTACGCTTTTACAGAAACTTAACTATGTGAGTAATAATACAAACAAAGTTTAAATGAAATTTCTGAAATAGGAATGAAGTACATTTTACCATATATTACAACATGATCGATTGTTATGAATGTAAGATATTGCTATTGTGGAGTTTTAGAAATAAAAAGGGATGTAAGGTTTTACAGAAACCTAACGATGTGAGTAATAATAAAAACAAAGTTTACATGAAATTTCTGAAATAGGAATGAATGAAATATTATTTATTAGGAATGGAATGAAATAGGAATATTTGCTTTTGTGTAGTTTTAAAAATAAAAAGGATTGTGAAATTTTACAGAAACTAAGTGTAAGTAATTATAAAAAAATAAAAGTTACATGAAATTTCTGAAAGAGGAATGAAATACATATGAAGTCCAATTAAAAACTGACAATTTCAAAAATATAAATAATTGCTATTGTGTAGGTTAGAAATAAAGGGATGTAGCTTTACAGAAACTTAACGTGTGAGAATAACAAAACAAGTTTAAAATGAATTTCTGAAATAGGAATGAAATGCATTTAACCTTATATCAAAACATGATCGATTGTTAAGAATGTAAGATATTGCTATTGTGTAGGTTTAGAAATAAAAAGGGATGTACGCTTTTACAGAAACTTAACTATGTGAGTAATAATACAAACAAAGTTTAAATGAAATTTCTGAAATAGGAATGAAGTACATTTTACCATATATTACAACATGATCGATTGTTATGAATGTAAGATATTGCTATTGTGGAGTTTTAGAAATAAAAAGGGATGTAAGGTTTTACAGAAACCTAACGATGTGAGTAATAATAAAAACAAAGTTTACATGAAATTTCTGAAATAGGAATGAATGAAATATTATTTATTAGGAATGGAATGAAATAGGAATATTGCTTTTGTATAGTTTTAAAAATAAAAAGGATTGTGAACTTTTACAGAAACTTAAGGATGTAAGTAATAATAAAAATAAAGTTGACATGAAATTTCTGAAAGAGGAATGAAATACATATGAAGTCATATTAAAAACTGATCAATTATCAAAAATATAAGATATTGCTATTGTGCAGGTTTAGAAATAAAAAGGGATGTACGCTTTTACAGAAACTTAACGATGTGAGTAATAATACAAACAAAGTTTAAATGAAATTTCTGAAATAGGAATGAAGTACATTTTACCATATATCAAAACATGATCGATTGTTATGAATGTAAGATATTGCTATTGTGGAGTTTTAGAAATAAAAAGGGATGTACGCTTTTACAGAAACTTAACTATGTGAGTAATAATAAAAACAAAGTTGACGTGAAATTTCTGAAATAGGAATGAATTACATTTTACGTTATATCAGAACCTGATCGATTATCATATGTGTAAGATATTGCTTTTGTGTAGTTTAGAAACTAAAAAAGGGTTGTAAATTCTTACAGAAACTTAACGATGTGTGTAATAATAAAAACAAAGTTTAAATGAAATTTCTGAAGTAGGAACGAATTACATATGATGTCATATTAAAAACTGAGCAATTATCATAAATATAAGATAATGCTATTGTGTAGGTTTAGAAATAAAAAGGGATGTACTCTTTTACAGAAACCTAACGATGTGAATATTAATAAAAACAAAGTGTAAATGAAATTTCTGAAATAGGAATGAAATACATTTTACCATATATCAAAACATGATCGATTGTTATGAATGTAAGATATTGCTATTAGGGAGGTTTAGAAATAAAAAGAGATGTAAGGTTTTACAGAAACCTAACGATGTGAGTAATAATAAAAACAAAGTAGACGTGAAATTTCTGAAATAGGAATGAATGAAATATTATTTATTAGGAATGGAATGAAATAGGAATATTGCTTTTGTGTAGTTTTAAAAATAAAAAGGATTGTGAACTTTTACAGAAACTTAAGGATGTAAGTAATAATAAGAATAAAGTTTACATGAAAATCTGAAAGAGGAATGAAATACATATGATGTCATATTAAAAACTGAGCAATTATCATAAATATAAGATATTGCTATTGTGTAGGTTTAGAAATAAAAAGGGATGTACTCTTTTACAGAAACTTAACGATGTGAGTAATAATGCATACAAAGTTTAAATGAAATTTCTGAAGTAGGAATGAAATACATTTTACCTTATATTAAAACATGATCGATTGTTATGAATGTAAGATATTGCTATTAGGTAGGTTTAGAAATAAAAAGGGATGTAAGCTTTTACAGAAACCTAACGATGTGAGTAATAATAAAAACAAAGTTGACGTGAAATTTCTGAAATAGGAATGAATGAAATATTATTTATTAGGAATGGAATGAAATAGGAATATTGCTTTTGTGTAGTTTTAAAAATAAAAAGGATTGTGAACTTTTACAGAAACTTAAGGATGTAAGTAATAATAAGAATAAAGTTTACATGAAATTTCTGAAAGAGGAATGAAATACATATGATGTCATATTAAAAACTGAGCAATTATCATAAATATAAGATATTGCTATTGTGTAGGTTTAGAAATAAAAAGGGATGTACTCTTTTACAGAAACTTAACGATGTGAGTAATAATGCATACAAAGTTTAAATGAAATTTCTGAAGTAGGAATGAAATACATTTTACCTTATATTAAAACACGAGCGATTGTTATGAATGTAAGATATTGCTATTGTGGAGTTTTTGAAATAAAAAGAGATGTAAGGTTTTACAGAAACCTAACGATGTGAGTAATAATAAAAATAAAGTTTACATAAAATTTCTGAAATAGGAATGAATTACATTTTACGTTATATCAGAACCTGATCGATTATCATAAATATAAGATATTGCTTTTGTGTAGTTTAGAAACTTAAAAAGGATTGTAAATTCTTACAGAAACTTAACGATGTGAGTAATAATAAAAACAAAGTTTAAATTAAATTTCTGAAGTAAGAACGAATTACATATGATGTCATTTAAAAAACTGAGCAATTATCATAAATATAAGATATTGCTATTGTGTAGTTTTAGAAATAAGAAGGGATGTAAACATTTACAGAAACTTAACGATGTGAGTGATAATATTAACAAAGTTTAGATGAAATTTCTGAAATAGGAATGAATGAAATATTATTTATTGGGAATGGAATGAAATAGGAATATTGCTTTTGTATAGTTTTAAAAATGAAGAGAAATATAAGCTTTTACAGAAACTTAACGATGTGAGTAATAATAAAAATAAAGTTTACATGAAATTTCTGAAACAGGACTGAAATACATATGATGTCATATTAGAAACTGAGCAATTATCATAAATATAAAATATTGCTATTGTGTAGTTTTAGAAATAAGAAAGGGATGTAAGCTTTTACACAAAATTAACGATGTGAGTAATAATGAAAATAAAGTTTACATGAAATTTCTGAAATAGGAATAAATTACATTTTACGCTATATCAGAACCTGATCGATTGTTATGAATGTAAGATATTGAGTTTGTGTAGTTTAAAAAATAAAGAAAGAATTGTAAGTTTTCACAAACTTAACGATGTGAGTAATAATAAAAACAAAGTTTACATGAGATTTCTTAAATAGGAATAAAAATACATATGATGTCATATAAAAAACCGATCAATTATCATAAATATAAGATAGTGCCATGTGTAGTTTTAGAAATAAACAATGATTGTACTCTTTTACAGAAACTTAACGATGTGAGTAATAATAAAAACAAAGTTAACATGAAATTTCTGAAATATTAATGAAATACTTTTTACCTTATATCAAAACCTGATCGATTGTTATTGTATGAAAAAACAAACACAATTATTTCCACACACGCAAAAGTTTATGTATTTATTTAATTTACGAAAATTAGACTAGAATAATTTATAAATTACTTATATTTTGCGAAGCCAAAAAAAGCGTGCACACTCTGTCAGTATACAAGTAAGAAAAAAAGAAAGAAAAAGCAAAAACGAAGCCAAAATTATTGCTTGCCAAATGTTAAAATGCCACTGTCAAAAACTACTAAATGGGTGATGCCATATCGCCTGATTGCTGTGCCAAATATCAAACATCCTCCCCGGCTGGACGGGTACGTTCAGGATGCTCCACAAGCCTGCATATCTTTCGCGAGTATGATAATTTCTTGCTAGGTACCTTGCCAATTAGGAAATCTGCAGGTGATAGAGCCATCTTGTCGTCACAAGTGTTATGCAATGGTATAAGTGGACGTGAATTCAAGCAAGCCTCGATATGTACAAGTACAGTATGTAGCTGATCATAGTAAATGGAATGGGTGCCAACAATGCGTAGTAAGTGCTTTTTTGCTGACTTAACGGCAGCTTCCCATAGACCGCCTTGATGAGGTGCGCCAGGTGGTAGAAAATGCCATTTTGTGCCTCGATTTGCCAATTCCTGTTGAGAATATTCATTATGCCAAGCCTGTAAGCCAATGAATGTAGTGCCATTGTCACTGTATAAATGATTACATGGACCACGCCGGTTTACGAAACGGGTGTATGCATTTATGAATGCCTCAGAAGTGAGATCTTCAGCCAGTTCGATGTGCGCTGCCTTGGTTACCATGCACACAAGGATTGTCACGTAAGCCTTCCGCACGGTTCGTACAGCCTTGGAGCCAATGCGTATGTTGAATGGACCGCAATAGTCTAAGCCAGATCTTGCAAATGGTGGAGATGGGGTGACCCGAGCCTTTGGTAATGTCGCCATACGTTGTTTTAGCATTATGTGTTTTTGCCGCCTGTAAATCGCGCATGAGGGTATGCATTGCTTGACCAAAATGCGTGCCTGTAGAATCCAATATTTGTGTCGAGGAATGAAAAACATATGATGTCATATTAAAAACTGAGCAATTATCATAAATATAAGATATTGCTATTGTGTAGGTTTAGAAATAAAAAGGGATGTACTCTTTTACAGAAACTTGACGATGTGAGTAATAATACAAACAAAGTTTAAATGAAATTTCTAAAATAGGAATGAAATACATTTTACCATATATCAAAACAAGATCGATTGTTATGAATGTAAGATATTGCTATTGTGGAGTTTTAGAAATAAAAAGGGATGTAAGGTTTTACAGAAACCTAACGATGTGAGTAATAATAAAAATAAAGTTTACATGAAATTTCTGAAATAGGAATGAATGAAATATTATTTATTAGGAATGGAATGAAATAGGAATATTGCTTTTGTGTAGTTTTAAAAATAAAAAGGATTGTGAACTTTTACAGAAACTTAAAAATGTAAATAATAATAAAAATAAAGTTTACATGAAATTTCTGAAAGAGGAATGAAATACATATGATGTCATATTAAAAACTGAGCAATTATCATAAATATAAGATATTGCTATTGTGTAGGTTTAGAAATAAAGAGGATGTACTCTTTTACAGAAACTTAACGATGTGAGTAATAATGCAAACAAAGTTTAAATGAAATTTCTGAAATAGGAATGAAATACATTTTACCTTATTTCAAAACATGATCGATTGTTATCAATGTAAGATATTGCTATTGTGGAGTTTTTGAAATTAAAAGAGATGTAAGGTTTTACAGAAACCTAACGATGTGAGTAATAATAAAAATAAAGTTTACATAAAATTTCTGAAATAGGAATGAAATACATTTTACCTTATACCAAAACATGATCGATTGTTATGAATGTAAGATATTGCTATTGTGTAGGTTTAGAAATAAAAAGGAATGTACGCTTTTACAGAAACTTAACTATGTGAGTAATAATAAAAACAAAGTTGACGTGAAATTTCTGAAATAGGAATGAATGAAATATTATTTATTAGGAATGGAATGAAATAGGAATATTGCTTTTGTGTAGTTTTAAAAATAAAAAGGATTGTGAACTTTTACAGAAACTTAAGGATGTAAGTAATAATAAGAATAAAGTTTACATGAAATTTCTGAAAGAGGAATGAAATACATATGATGTCATATTAAAAACTGAGCAATTATCATAAATATAAGATATTGCTATTGTGTAGGTTTAGAAATAAAAAGGGATGTACTCTTTTACAGAAACTTAACGATGTGAGTAATAATGCATACAAAGTTTAAATGAAATTTCTGAAGTAGGAATGAAATACATTTTACCTTATATTAAAACCGATCGATTGTTATGAATGTAAGATATTGCTATTGTGGAGTTTTTGAAATAAAAAGAGATGTAAGGTTTTACAGAAACCTAACGATGTGAGTAATAATAAAAATAAAGTTTACATAAAATTTCTGAAATAGGAATGAATTACATTTTACGTTATATCAGAACCTGATCGATTATCATAAATATAAGATATTGCTTTTGTGTAGTTTAGAAACTTAAAAAGGATTGTAAATTCTTACAGAAACTTAACGATGTGAGTAATAATAAAAACAAAGTTTAAATTAAATTTCTGAAGTAAGAACGAATTACATATGATGTCATTTAAAAAACTGAGCAATTATCATAAATATAAGATATTGCTATTGTGTAGTTTTAGAAATAAGAAGGGATGTAAACATTTACAGAAACTTAACGATGTGAGTGATAATATTAACAAAGTTTAGATGAAATTTCTGAAATAGGAATGAATGAAATATTATTTATTGGGAATGGAATGAAATAGGAATATTGCTTTTGTATAGTTTTAAAAATGAAGAGAAATATAAGCTTTTACAGAAACTTAACGATGTGAGTAATAATAAAAATAAAGTTTACATGAAATTTCTGAAACAGGACTGAAATACATATGATGTCATATTAGAAACTGAGCAATTATCATAAATATAAAATATTGCTATTGTGTAGTTTTAGAAATAAGAAAGGGATGTAAGCTTTTACACAAAATTAACGATGTGAGTAATAATGAAAATAAAGTTTACATGAAATTTCTGAAATAGGAATAAATTACATTTTACGCTATATCAGAACCTGATCGATTGTTATGAATGTAAGATATTGAGTTTGTGTAGTTTAAAAAATAAAGAAAGAATTGTAAGTTTTCACAAACTTAACGATGTGAGTAATAATAAAAACAAAGTTTACATGAGATTTCTTAAATAGGAATAAAAATACATATGATGTCATATAAAAAACCGATCAATTATCATAAATATAAGATAGTGCCATGTGTAGTTTTAGAAATAAACAATGATTGTACTCTTTTACAGAAACTTAACGATGTGAGTTGTTCAATCATGAACAGGAATTTATACCATAAATTTAATTATTATAGTTTATATTATCACCTAAATTCTTAGAATTATGTACTAAGGAAAAATATAGATAAATAGTAACATTTTTTAGCAACCGTATTTAAATTATTAAACTAAAATATATTCATAAAAACAATAGGAGGAAAATCCCAAGTGTTGGGACTTCCGTCCTTTTTTAACCTTTTTTAACCTTTTTTGACAAATGTAATACAGTCCACTAAAATCATAATAATTTAACCTTGATGTAGAAATTAGTCTTAAAATATTTTTGTATAAAAACACAACATTATTTTAAATAAAATCAGTAGCTAAAAATTACTCAAAGTGTGTGTACTTTAATTTATTAAATGTACATTTTGGTCCTTCGAGACATAAAGTGAAATTGAGTACAGTGCGATACCAGCGTGGACCGAGGCTTAAACATCGGTGCCATAAACTAAATATATAGTGCAGTGCTAAAAGATACAAGCGTGGACCAAGGCTTAAACATCAGTGCCAAAAATTTAAATATAGTACAAAAAGCATTGATCGAGATTTAAATATCGGTACGGTAAAAAGAAAATGGATCCATCAAAATTATTAGCTCTGCTTAAACAGCAAAGAGCAATATATGACGATGTTAAGAATATCGAGAAGAATAGCAGCAAACGTGAGTTGCGTGCGAATACAATAAAAGAACGTTTAGATAAACTACAAGGATTATGGAATCAATTTAAAGATAATCACGAGAAAATACTCTTAACGGAGAATAAGGAAGACAAATATTTTAATGAGGACTTTTACACTACAGTGCATCAAAAAGTGATTCAGGTGAAAACAATGCTCGAAGAAATAGTTGAAAGCAAAGATAGAAATGCAGAATCTGTTGAAAGCAAAAGTGTAGACGAGAAAATAACGGAAAGTCAAATTGAGAAAAATAAAATCAACAATCTAGTAGAGCAATATAACAATAACATCGCAAGGTTAAGACAGATGTTAGAAAATCTTGACCATTATGATACTGTCACGCGATTGGAACAACTTAATGGAATCTGGAAAAGAAAGTTCGAAGACATTAGAAGTATCTATAAGAAGCTGGTTATTGAAATGAAGTAGACATTATGAATGATTATGATGAGATTGAAGACCAATACGATAAGGCGTTAGATGAATTAGCCAATAAAATGGAAAAATTACGTGAGGGGAACAACGTTAAGCTTGACTGCATTAGAATCCCAAATTTCAACGGTAATATTGAAGAATGGTCGTCTTTTCATGATCTATATAAAAGGCTTATCCATGAGGATGGAAAAATTTCGAATGTTGAGAAAATGTATCGACTCAAAACATTAGTAAAAGGAGAAGCAAGCAAGCTGATACAACATCTACCGGTGTCGGAATTGAATTATGCTGTAGCTTGGGAAATTTTGTCGCAAAGGTACGAAAATGAAAGAATGTTGTTCACAATATTGGTCGATAAATTGCTCGATCAACCATCTGTATATAATGATTCAGCGTCAAGTTTGAAAAAGTTGCTTGACACATCGATAGAATGTATCCAGGGACTGAAGGCAATGGGTATAAAAACGAATGAAGCAGATCCAATAATAGCAAGGATTATAATCAGGAAGTTGGATAAGGAAGGATTACGGCTATATGAGCAAAATATAAAAAGGACAAAGGAGATTCAAAAAATGGACGATGTATTACAGTTTCTGGAGCAGCAATACCAAACAGCAGAGGCGATTAAATCTAAGAAACAAACTAATAATGTAAAGTCTTTTCAAAAAACAACAGCGACAACTATAGTAGCAAATGATTACCAGTGCTTTTACTGCAACAAAAAAGGACATATGGCATTAAAGTGTTATGAGTTTCTAAAGCTACAAGTCAAGGACAAAAATACATGGGTAAAAGACGCTAAAATTTGTCGCGTCTGTTTATCGCATAAAACTACAAAAAGATGCAATAGTAAGACAAAATGTCAAGATTGTGGGAAGTGGCACAATACTCTTTTGCACATTAATTCAGGGCAAAATAATAACACATCAACATTAACAATGAATACGGGCACAGCAGAAAATGTGTTACTTGCAACGGCGCAAGTGCGCGTAAAAAGTGTTCAAGGTGAGATGATTATGTTAAGGGCACTAATTGACCAAGGGTCGCAAACTACAGCTGTATCAGAAGAAGCGGCACAAATATTAAATTTACCAAGGAAAAAAGTAAAAATGGAGGTGCAAGGGCTTGGAGGAACACCGGTTGGCGTTGCAAAGGCAAAAATAAATCTTCAAATTCACCCACGATTCACCAGTAAATATAAAATAAATGCAGAAGCATTAATTTTACCATCATTGGTATCTTGTCAACCGGATAAAACCTTTAGCTATAATATAGATAAGTGGGAAAATATGACCTTGGCGGACCCAAATTTTAATAAATCCGATAGAATTGACATAATCATAGGAAGCGATCTTTACGGAGAAATTCTTGAAGGCGGTCTACTTAAAAAAGATAAAATATTGGCGCAATCA